ACGAGGAGCAGCTGTTCAAGGTAAGTCCTCAAGTGGGGAGGGGTGGAGACCCCGAGAGGGCGGCTGGGCCCGCGGAGCTCAGCGACACACTTGCCCACAGATGATCCAGATGAGCACGGGCCACATGGAGGGCAACCTGCAGCTGCTCTACGTGCTGCTCACAGACTGCTACGTCTACCTGCTCCGCAAAGGTGCCTGCCACCCCCAAGGAGGGGTCTGAGCTTCAGACCCCCTTGCCCAGTCCCCTCTCCTCTGAGTGGCATGTAGCAATGACAGTGGACCCCAGGAAGGTGTCGCTAGCTGAGCCTGGGGTTCTGCCCCAAGAGCGCCCCTGTCTTTTCCCTACTCTGTCATTTCCAGTGCAGGCAAGGAGGGTCCTCCGTGTGAGGGGCCCGGGTCTTAGGAGTGGGGCCAGGGGAGCAGAGGCCAAGGGGTAATAGGCCTTGGGGTCTCCTCTCTCAGGGGCCACAGAGAAGCCATACCTGGTGGAAGAGGCTGTTTCTTACAATGAACTTGACTATGTGTCGGTGAGTGCAGGCTCTGCAGGTGGCTACAGGGCTTCCCGGGCCACCCACCCTCAGAGCTGCAGAGCAGGGCGTGTCTCAGGGTTGGGTGCAACTAAGTTCTTAAGCTTGTGGATCTGTACTGGGAGCAGGGGCCAAGCATAAAGACACCTCTTCTCTGGGGCATGGGGCTCACAGCCCTCCCTAACTCACGCTGGCCCCAGGCTTTAGGGCCCAGTGCCCCCAGGGTGTGCTTGCTTCTTCCCTGTGGGCCGCACCTCCTCTGCCCAGCATCGGCCAAGCCCCACATGGTGTCTTCTGGCAGGTCGGCCTCGACCAGCAGACTGTGAAGCTGGTTTGCACCAACCGCAGGAAGCAGTTTCTGCTGGACACCGCAGACGTGGCCCTGGCTGAGTAAGTGCCAAGCTTACGCTCCACAGGACTGCATAGCCACATCTGCCTGTGTGCCATGGCTGGGGGTGGAGGGCAGGACTTGGAGACACAGGATGGGGAGCAAATTTGTTCCCTCTGGAATGTCGCCAACAGAGTGACCCTTGTAACTTTTGGAAGGGACGGGGCTAGCGTGAGTCATCCAGCCAGACAGCAGGCAGAGAGCCTGCAGCAGGAGGTGGAGGAGTACCCTCAAACATTTACACACAAACCATGTATGTGCAAAATGAGACATCACAATGGTGGGCCACCTGAGGCCTGCTGGTCGCACATTTTCCTTCAAGCTCTAGGTCCTCCTGCTCATTAAGGGACAGTCAGGCCAAGGGTTCCCAGCACTTGGCTTCCAGCCAGGCCCCTCTGCCACATTTCTGTGGGCTTTCTGGTGGGCAGGCGTTCTTGGGACAAAGTCCTGTCTGTTGAATGCCTATCTCCAGGCTTCTGACAGCCAGCCTCACTCCCTGAGCAGGTTCTTCTTGGCCTCTCTGAAGTCAGCCATGATCAAAGGTTGTCGGGAACCACCCTACCCCAGCATCCTGACAGATGCCACCATGGAGAAGCTGGCACTGGCCAAATTTGTGGCCCAGGAATCCAAGTGTGAGGTCAGCACCTGGGAGCGGGGTGTGGTGCTTGTAGGCTCAGCAGTGGGAGACGTGTAGCATTAGGGCTCAGGGATGTGGGCACCCCACCACACGTGCGCGCACGCAGTCCTCCTGCCTGCAGGGTGCATCCTGGGTGAAGCGCCTTGCCCTCTGAGTACGTGCTGCTGCCAGCCCAGCCTCCTACCTGCCTCAGAGCTCACACCTGTCTGCTGCCCCCTCCTGCAGGCTTCCACTGTGGCCGTGCACTTCTATGGGCTCGTGCACTGGGAGGACCCCACGGACGAGGCCCTGGGCCATGGGCCTTGCCACTGTTCGGCCCCCGAGGGGGCGATCACCAAAGAGGGTGTGCTGCACTACAAGGCGGGCACCTCCTACCTGGGCAAGGAGCACTGGAAGACCTGCTTCGTGGTGCTCAGGTGGGTGCCCAGCAGCTCGGCCCAGAGCGGAGAGGCCAAGAGCCGCCGCCCTCCCCCTCCACAAGCTTTGGAGTGGGCACACCAGACCTGAGCCCTTGTTGCATAGCCAGTCCCTGCCATCCCTGTCAACTCCTTCAAGCATCCTTCCATAGAAAGGGCCCCACGTCCTCTGCCTGGGCTTCACAGCCACTGTGTGGATGACCCCAGGGATGGGGACTCGGCCTGGCGCCCCTCCTTGGCCAGGCCTCACCCTCCTGTGTTGTGCCCTGCAGCAATGGGATCCTCTACCAGTATCCCGACCGGACTGATGTCATCCCCCTGCTCTCAGTGAACATGGGGTGAGTGGCCGGGAGATGGGGTGCTGGGCAGGTGTGGGGCCAGATGCTGCTGCCTGAAAGCCATGGCCCTGGCTGAGCCTGGGCCCAGAGCGTCCCTGTCCCCTGTCCCGTCAGTCCAGCCTCTGCCCCTCAGCCGCATCCTGCCTATCCATCCAGCAGTGGTAACTGGTTTTGCTGAGGTTTGCTGAGCTGAGGCTATGAGGAGCCTGGGAGGGAGGAGGGAGGAGACAGGCACTGCCTGGGGAGGGTCCCATCTGGTATGAGGCTGGCCCCTCTGGCAGCGCCCCAGAAGGCACCAGTGCTGAGCAGTAGAGCTGAGCCGACTCTCACCTTGGGTATCCAGAAATGTTGGAGATAAAACGAGTCAGATGGAAGGGGTGGGGCCTTGAGGGTCCGCCACCTCCTGGGGTCTAGACGACTGTCTGGTGCCCTCTGCACCATCTGGTACTCTCCATGCCGCATGCCACCAGCCCACCCATGGGGTTCCCACTCTGCCCACCCTTGCTTCCTCGCTCCCGTTTCACCCCTCCTCCTCTGGCCCAGGGGGGAGCAGTGCGGTGGCTGCCGGAGATCCAACACCACGGATCGGCCCCACGCCTTCCAGGTCATTCTCGCCGACCGGCCCTGCCTGGAGCTGAGCGCCGAGAGCGAGGCTGAGATGGCCGACTGGATGCAGCACCTCTGCCAGGCCGTGTCCAAAGGGGTGAGCACTTCCTTCTCCCTATATACCTGTCAGGTCCCATCAGGAACCCCTGGGGCCACCCCAAACTCACACCAGCTGCAGAGCAGCCCAAGAGGATCTAGATGGGGGACCCTGGAGCTCAGGACCCCCTTCTCCTCTCCCGACCCACAATCCTGAGGGGCAGAGCCTGCCAGACCCCTCACCTGGCTTCAGGCGCAGACTGCCTATAGGATGCACTGCCCATACCTCAGGTCGTCCCCCAGGGCGTCACTCCCAGCCCCTGCATCCCCTGTTGTCTGGTGATCACTGCGGACCGCCTCTTCACGTGCCACGAGGACTGCCAGACCAGCTTCTTCCGCTCACTGGGCACAGCCAGGCTGGCCGACATCAGTGCTGTTTCCATGGAGCCGGGCAAGGAGTACTGCGTCCTGGTGAGCTAGGGGTGGGCGAGGGGTGACACGGGCCTTTGGGGGAAGGCCCTTGCTCACCTGGTCCCTGCTGCCTAGGAATTCTCCCAGGATGGCCTGCAGCTTCCCATTCCCTGGGTCATCTACCTGAGCTGCACTTCCGAACTGGACCGTTTCCTGTCTGCACTGAACTCTGGGTGGAAAGCCATCTACCAGGTACCTAGCTGCCCAAAAGCCCCAACTGTTCCCAACACCTGGTCTGACCTCTAGGGTCCTGAGCACAACAGTAGGCCAACAGCTTCAGGACAGGCTAGAAACAGGGCTGTAGAGTAAAGCACTGGCTCAGTGAGTCTGGTAAAAACTTAAAAAAGAGCTAGGGTTGCTATTCCTGACCTCTGCTGACAGGGTCGGGGCTGAACTGCAGGACCGGCATTCTGCTCTATAGCTTAACCCCGAGTGGGAGGGGCTTGCTGGCCCTGGAGAAGGGCATCGAAGCTGTTGCTGCTCTGCAGCCCTGGGAAGCCCAGCAGGAGGAGGCAGCAGTGTGGAAGCTGCTCACAGGGGAGGCGGGGGTGGGGGGCAGAGGGTCAAGGCAGAGCCCAGGATTAGGCCCTGGCAGTGGGGAGCCTGTAGCCCTCCATGCCGCTGCCTGCCCCAACACAGGTGGACCTGCCTCACAAAGCAATCCATGAGGCCTCCAGCAGGCAGAAGTTCGAGGACGCCCTGAGCCTCATCCACAGCGCCTGGCAGCGAAGCGACAGCCTCTGCAGAGGCAGAGCCTCCCGGGACCCCTGGTGCTGAAGGTGGAGTTGGGTGGCATCCCACGCGGACAGGAAGGGGAAGCTGGCTGACCAGAAGGAGCACTGTCCTGTGTCACTATGCCGCCCCGGAGCCGGGCCCCCACTCGCGTCCTACAGCACACTGACTGCTGCACCGGCAGCAGAACCACGAGTGTGGCTTGAGATGGGGCCTCTCCACTCCCAGGGGTCCGGAGCGGTGCCCAGCACCCCAGTACCTGGTAGTAGCTGAGGTCGCTGGGGCAGAGGGTCTGAGCCCTGTGGGCTCTGCAGACGCATACTTCTTCCTGAGCCACCACTGTTCAAGATGGTGATGAGAGTCCATCTAAGGAGGGAACAAAAGGGCCAGGAGGGTGGGAGCCCGTCTTTCCCCCTGGTTCCGGGGCCTGGGCAGACAGGCTCAGGGCCCACTGGGGGTCCTGAGTGCCAGCCACCCTGGCTGGTTTGGGAACGCTCTCCTGGCTGTGCAGGAGCTGAAGGACAGTGTCTGTGCATGCTCCCTCCCTCCCTGCTGGCCCACCCCGTGCCAGCTGCCTGCCTGGGGCCTGCATGCCCATAGCCGCCCTGCCTTCCCCTATCTAGCAGAGCCGGCAGGACCCAGGGCTCAGCTGGCTTCTCGAGCCAGGAGTCAAAGGATGGGGAGGACCTGGCGGAGGAGCGGAGCCCACCAGCCTGGGGTCCCCCTTGGCATCTCCTGACTGTCCCTTGCCAGCTGGAGCCAAGCCCTCCCTGGGCTTTGCCAGAGCCCTAAGGAGAAGGGGTCAGTGGCTTGGGTTTTGTTTTTAAAAATAAACAGATATGTTACATTGCCAACACTTGTCGGTGGCTCTCTTTGAGTAAAGGTGGCTGGAGAGCTTCCTCCCATTCTGCAAACTTGTCTCCATCATTGTCTGTCTGTTGCCTGGACACAAACCCAAACCTCAAACCTGGAACCTCGGCTTGGAGGAGCACAGGCCCTGGGAGCCTGCCCCACCCCCACCCCACCCCCATCTACAGCTGCAGTGGGGAGGGGCTCCGGTGGGTCCCTATGGCCAAGTGACTAGGTCACTCCTCACTCGGAGGCCCTTATGCTTCTATCAGGGCGCTGGGGGAAGCAAGGGTGGGGTGACAGCAGAGGCAGGGCAAGTGCACCCCCCGTTATCGAGTGGGGCCCCGTGTAGGCACACCTTCCCACAGCAGTCTCCAGGGGCCCTTCTGACGTAGGTGTCGCTCTAGTAGCTCCACCTCAGCTGCAGTGTCTCTTGCGAAGCTCAGCAGAGGTCCACTGGGGGGAAATCCATTCTGAGTAGTGCGATGAAATCTCCTGTCCCAGGTACAAGCTATTCCTCTGGCCACGGTACCCTTGCCCTTCTGTCAGGCTGACTGCGATCGTATGGAGGCCCCCAGATGCAAGACTAGTGCTCTCTTCCTCTCCCTTCCCTGCCCCATCCGGTCTCCATGGAAATGAAACCCAGGGCAAGTCTAGCCCTGAGCAGCTCCCCTGCCTCCAATGCTTCCTTTAAATGAATGGTGAGGGCTGGCGAGATGGCTCAGTGGTCTAAAGCACCTACTTGAAACAAGCTTGGCAAAGCACAGGGACCGCGGTTCGATCCCCCAG